GATCAATGATAATTCAAATAGATTCAACATTCTTCAAAATCTGTTCTGTTCTCATCATGCTTGACTCAATTCAAAACTCTAACACTTTTTTTTGTCCCAAATCTATTGACATTGAACAATGTCAGAAACAATGGATCTATCTATCAGGAACCAAATATAAATTACTAGACGTATTTCTAAGTATTGTCAAACTTACAGGACTAAAACGAAAAAAAAAAAAAACATAGGGGAGAATTATGTAATTATCTGCAAATGTTTTTGTTTACACAAAAACCTCAAAACCTCTCTCTCTCTCACAACGCTTATCTGCTTAACACTCTTCACCTATCCACTTCCTTCTCCTCTCTAATGGCTAACGAAGAACTCACTGAGTCACAGCAACAAGAAGACCCAAGTCAACAATCACCCAATGCGGATGAAGAAAACGGCTCCAACTCTGATTCGGACTCCGACTCCGACTCATCATCCCAATCCTCCGGCGACGATTTCTACATCTCCGAGTCAGAGAACGAAGCAGAAGGAGACAACGCCATCTTCAACTACGTAAGACCAAGTGACATACCTCCTGACCCAAACGCAAACCCAGAAACCAACATCCGCCGATTCAATCGCGTCCTCGATGGCAAGCGAGTGAAGCGTATGCAAGAAGAAGAAGAAGAGAAATACACATTCTATGAGGATCTTTTCGATTTCCCTAGAGACCCAGAACGGTGGAAGGAACAAGATTTAAGGGAGATTTGGGCAGATGGTCCATTGGAGATGACTAAACCTGGTTGGGATCCAGTTTGGGCTGATGAAGATGATTGGGAAATTGTTAACGATGAGATTCAAGAAGGTCGAGATCCTGGGATTCAACCTTTTTATGTTCCTTATAGGAAACCTTATCCAGCGATTCCGGATAATCATTATGATATTGAGAATGCTAAAGGTGTTGTTGAAGAGCTTGATAGGATTGAAGAGTTTCTTCAATGGGTCAGCTATATTTTCCCTGATGGAAGCTCGTAATACTCACATTTCCCTTTTCACTCTCTTTGATTTTTTTGTCTTGTTTCTGTGAGTTTGGAGTATGTTCCTTTAGTTTGATGTTTGAAAGTTGTGATTTTGGGATCAGGGTTTATATTCTTTAGTTGATTTGATCTTTTGTTCCAGTTCCAGAGAATGTTTTGTTACCATGAGAGGATTTCTAAAGCTAGTGACTTTTTTTAGTTTGTTGTGTTCTATAAGCTGTAGATTGAATTTTCATGAAGTTTGGTTTGAAACTTTGTATTCTAAGTAGAGTTTGAATTCTGCAAATGAAGGAAATGGCAATGCAGGTTGAATGACAGGGCATTAGAAACGTTCTTGCGACTAAGTTTGATGATCTTCTTCATCTGTTTGGGTAGCTTTGTGATGTATACTTTCATCTTGATTCAGAAGCTTCGTATCTCACTATTTTCTCTCACTGTTTTTTTGGCTAAAGGTACGAAGGCACAGTCTGGGATGACTTGGCTCAAGGCAAAGGTGTTTATGTTGCTGAAAATGGCCGTGTGAGGTGATATTTCTGTTTTGTAGATTTGCTTGTTTTTTTGTTTCTCTTGTTAATGTTTTACATTGGTTTTCAATGACCCAATATATTTTTTGTTGGTTTTGGCTCTGTATTTGAAATCTTTAGGTATGAGGGTGAATGGCTTCAGAATGACATGGAAGGCCATGGGGTTGTCGAAGTTGATATTCCTGACATTGAGCCCATGCCAGGTTCCAAGTATGATTCTCATTCCTATTAATCTTCCCGGGGATTCTATGAACATAGTCGTCTGACTAGGATATTGTGTTTTCTGTCTGTGTAGGCTTGAAGCTAAGATGCGTGCGGAAGGAAGGATTATCAAGAGAGATTACATGACTCCAGAAGACAGAAAGTGGTTGGAAATGGATGTCGAGGACAGTGTTGCACTTACTGATGGGAATTACCAAGTTCCTTTCTATGAAAACGAAGAGTGGGTCACACAGTTTGGCGAGAAACCGTAAGTCTGCAATGATAAGATCCTTACTAGATGGCTTACTTCCCAACACTAATTTGAACGGTTTGATTGAATATTTGATTTATTGACCTCATTAGATATATTGCTGGACTAGGTAATAACTTGAACTAAAATAACAAACAGAAAAATGTCATTTTAGTTGATTCCCTCTCCCTTATTCACATTGTATATTATATGGTTTTCATACCAGGGAGAAAGGTCGGTATCGCTATGCTGGTCAATGGAAGCACAGTCGAATGCATGGGTGTGGTGTCTATGAAGTTAACGAACGTATCCTATATGTGAGTAGTAAAAAAAAATTGGTCGTTTACATCATAATTCTATCTAATCTGATTGATCCTAACTTAGATATTTGGTATCCATCGTATGAATCCATAATTGTTTTTAAGTAATAATCTTGTCCTCCATGAAACATTTTCTTTAGTGAATATTCATGTTTCTGACACTAGTTCACATCTTAATGGTAATGCAGGGTAGATTCTACTTTGGGGAGCTATTGGAGGAGGAGCATGGCTGTACCGTAGATATTTGTGCGGTAGTTACCCAGTTTTTGCTCTCTATGATACATTAACTTTCGGCAAAGAAAGAGGAAGGAATGATAAATATACTGATGTGAAAACATTTTCAGCTGCATTCTGGTTTGGCGGAGGTGGCTGCAGCTAAGGCTCGAATGTTTGTAAACAAACCCGACGGAAGTATTGCCCCTTTACTTTGCTACTATCTTCTGTTTGTTCTGTGTGTTAAGTATAAATCAAGACATATTTTAGGGGTTTGTTTGATTCCTTTAGATCAGTGTAGTAACCATCATTCTGTTTCAAATATATATTTCGCCTTTCTTTCAGGAAATGTCCAGCTTATGAAAGTGAGGAAGAACAGTGCATTTTACAGTAAGGTTTTAGTTTAACTGAGAGCTCAAAGTGTGTTTGTTTTGTTTGTTTTATGTATATGCAGTGATTAGGGAAGAGAGGGGTCCATATAGTGATCCTCAACATCCGTATTTTTATGAAGAAGATGATGTGTGGATGGCACCAGGTTTCATTAACCAATTTTATGAAGTGGGTCATTTTCTTATCAAGCTTTTCGAGTTAGTTTGATCACAAAGTTGACATAAGAATCTGTCTTTTTGGTAGGTACCTGAGTATTGGGAAACCTATGTAGACGAGGTGGATCAAGAAAGGGAAATGTGGTTGAACTCTTTTTACAAAGCTCCTTTGAGGTTACCAATGCCTGCTGAGCTCGAACATTGGTGGGAAAATGGTAATGACTCTTAAAGATTTTAGTCTTACATGATTGAATATTTTGATGTTCTACTGATTTTTTCTGTTTTATTTTTCTTGATCAGTGGAGGTGACACCAGAGTTTGTCTTACTGAACAAAGAACCTGAACCTGATCCAAATGATCCTTCAAAACTTGTCCAGAAGGAGGACCCTGTTATCTTACATACACCAACAGGTCGAATAATCAACTATGTAGAGGACGAAAAGCACGGCATTCGACTATTTTGGCAGCCTCCTCTGGAGGAAGGAGAAGATGTGGATCCTTCAAAAGTTGAGTTTCTGCCACTTGGTTACGACGAGTTCTATGGGAAAGAAGTGGCAGTGAAAAAGGAACACCCAATAAAAAGATTCGTACTTGGAATCGAGAAATCGGTGAAGCCAATGCTTGACGGATTAGAGAAATGGACAGAAGAGAAAAAGAAAGCAAATGAGGAGAGAAAGGAGATGATACAGAATGAGCTTGAGTTAGTAGAGGCTGAGATTTGCTTAGAGGAAGCTATAGAAGATATGGATGAAGTATTGAAGCAGAAAGAACAAGAAGAGGAAAAGAACACTGAAATGGGTTTAACTGAAGAAGATGAAGATGTTTTGGTCCCGGTTTATAAAGAAGAGAAAGTTGTCACTGCCAAAGAGAAGATACAAGAGAAAAAACAGGAAGAGAAATACAAAGATGATGATGATGAGGATGAGGATGATGATGATGACGATGATGATGATGATCTTGGGCCATCAAGTTTTGGATCTGCAGACAAGGGAAGGAGGAATTCTCCTTTTTCTTCATCCTCATTGTCTTTTGCTTCGTGTACCCTCTTTCCCGCGGTAATACTCTCTCTTATTTTTCAGCATAATTTCGGTTTGGTCTCAATTAGAAGAAGCTAGTATTGATATATGTAAACTTGGCAGGTACAATCAAGACTAGAAAGCTCGTTTCTAGCATGGAAGCAACATCGAGCAGAACCATCAAAAGTGAACAGAGGAATCATCAAAGGTGCAGATAACTCAACAGCTTCAATCCATTTTCCTCCATTGTTGAGTAACAAAGCCAGATTGAAGATGGGAAAGGTATCAAACCAAGGTTGTGTCCAGAGAAGCTATGGAAGCTCAAGATCCCAGTCTCAGTTAATGTCTCTCTCACGGCTACTATCTTGCAATGCATCATCTTCTTCTTCTCCCGATAGTAGCTCCGGTGAAGACCTCAGAGATTCCGGCCTCTGGAAAACACCGGTTGGGGACATGAGCGCAGTTTTGTCGCTGCAAATTCAGACAAAATGTTCTGATCTGTTTGCAGAGAATCCTCCAGTCTTGTCTTGAGTCTCTCGTCTTCTGTAGCTTTAGCTCGAGTTTCTTATGTACCTTCAAGGCTTTTCATTTTTTGGTGGACAAGAAGATCATTTGAATTTTTGTTGTTGTATTGTCTAATAAATATTTACCAAAACTATTTATTTAAAAAAGAAAAAAAAAACTGAATATTTATTTCTGTTTTATTGCCTAATCATAATTTATCAGAATCGAATAATCTCGGAATATATAAGTTAATTTTTTCATATATGAATTTAGGATCTTTACCAAATAAACAGATATTTTTTTATATTACGCAATATTCCAAAATAATGCAAGCGTTACGAAATTAGGGGAACACGACGCCGTATAGACTCGCCAAGAACCCTAAAGGGAGGCTCTTCTTAAACCTCTTTCGATTATAAAAAGGCCCCAAAACCTCTTCTTCTTCTCTGCCTCTTTCACTGCAATTTCTCTCTTTCGCTTCTAAAAAAACCCTAACAACTTCTTTTCTCTTCCACGCTCAACAACAATGGAGTTCTGGGGTAAGAATCTGACTTCTTCTCTTCATAAATCTCCTCTACTCTTTCCTGTTTTCACGCTCCGAGAATTTTGATCGATTTTCTATAGAGACTCGTATTTTGCTGTATTTCGTGTTCGTTTCTTTCTTCGAAGAGTTTCTGAACGATTTTTAACCTGTTGAATCATGTATCTGTTCATATTTTGTTGCGTTTGGAGCTTATTTAGGGTTAAGGTTGTAACTATTTCAACATAGAGCTTGGTTTCTGTATCAACTTGGATTTTGTTGAGATGTTTCTCATGTTGATGAATGATTTATGTTTGATTGCTTTTTACAATGTTATTTAGGAATTGAAGTGAAACCAGGGAAGCCTACTAAGGTGACTCCTGAAGAAGACAGCCTTGTCCACATTTCTCAGGTTATCTTTCAGATTTCCAAATAGTAAAACTTTTCAGGATTTAGCTCAAACAGTCTCTTGATGTTTTGGTTCTCTTTATGTGTAGGCTTCACTTGACTGCAAAGTGAAATCTGGAGAATCTGTGGTTTTGACTGTCACTGTTGATGGGACTAAGCTTGTTATTGGAACACTTTCACAAGAGAAGTTCCCTCAGATTAGCTTTGATTTGGTCTTTGAGAGAGAGTTTGAGATTTCCCACAATGGTACCAAAGGAACCGTCCACTTCGTTGGCTACAGATCCCCCAACATTGACCAATATCCTTTTTGACAGAATTGTTTTATGTGTTTGGTCTTTGTTTATCTATTAATGATGGAAGATACAAAAAAGATTAAGTTACATGTTTTAGGAATTGTGTGTTCCTTAATTCTTGTTGATTGTGTTTCCACGGATGATGGTGAGGACTACACTAGTTCAGAAGAGGAGGATGTTCCTGAAGCTGTTCCTGCCCCTGTTCCTGCTGCTGTTGCTGTCAATGGTATGTGTTGTAGATGCTACTGATGTCTTTGTTTCTTATCTTGAAAAGTTGTGATCTCAAATTTTGTTTTCCATTGCATTTCAGGAAGTGCTGGAGCAGCTGCTTCGAATGTTGTTAAGGCTGACTCAAAGCCAAAGGCCAAGCCTGCAGAAGTGAAGCCTGCAGAAGTGAAGCCTGAATCAGAAGATGATGAGGATTCCTCTGACGAGGAAGATGAGTCTGCTGATGATGATGACTCTGAGAAAGGAGTGAGTTTTTGTAACCCTGTCTATGAATTTGGTTTCTACTTCAGATACTATGTGTATACATGCGTTCAGGTGTTGACTAGGGTGATAAATTCTCTTGTGATGATTTTTTGTAGATGGATGTTGACGAGGATGATTCAGATGATGAGGAGGATGAATCAGAGGAAGAAGAAGAAGAGACTCCCAAGAAGGTAGATACATTTGTCTAACTAACATTTGATCTGTTATCTTTCTTTCTACATAATCCTTTTTCTCACCTTAATGTTTCATATGATTTATGAATAGCCCGAGCCAATCAACAAGAAGAGGCCTAATGAATCTACATCCAAAACACCTGTCTCGGGAAAGAAGGCAAAACCAGCAGCAGCACCAGCAGCTACTCCTCAGAAGACAGGTTAATAGATGAAACTGTTTCTTTATCTTTGTAGATTTCTAGTCCTGATCTTATGGTTAGATGATCAGAATTATGAGGGGCATAGAGAGCTTTCGTAGGATTTTGTTTGTATACTGATGAACAAGATCCATATTGTCTGGATACAGAAGAGAAGAAGAAAGGAGGACACACAGCCACACCACACCCAGCTAAGAAGAGTGGAAAGTCTCCTGTGAATGCTAACCAGAGCCCCAAGGCTGGAGGTCAATCATCCGGTGGTAACAAGAAGTAAGTAGTCTCTTTCTTCATCTTTCTCACAGCCTGATGATGTGTGAATAAATCTAATCATTGATGGTGTAATGATGCTGTGTGTACAGATTCAATTCGGGCAAACAATTTGGTGGTTCTAACAACAAGAGCAAGGGCAAGGGTAGAGCTTAATGAGGAGGTGGATATCAAGGAGAGGTGTTTTTGAGTATTAGATGGTGAAACAAGTCTTGAAGGGTGCTTTTGGATTATTATCTTATTTTATCTTAAAACTTTTTATCGGAAGAGCTATTTTGAGTATTGCAGTTGCTACTTTCCTATGTAATTCAGTATATGAATATTGCTGATATGAGAAAGAAGACTCGAATTGCAACCATAAAATTAGTTTGTTCGTCAATATTAATTTATTACTGATAAGATAAACGCCTTAAATTGATGCACAAATGCTAAGCCAAATCGAATTAATATGAAACTATGCGGACCGAGACTAAACCAAATCCAATTTTGTTACAACCAAACCGAATCAAAGTTTTTGGAAATGAACCGAACTAAAACAAAAAATATCACAGCAGTAAGAACAATCAACTCAAACCTCTTTTTTTTTTTTTTTTTTAATAACCCAGGTGTCCGGTCCCACCAAAGTGGCCCGATTAGCGTCGTGTCCAAACGGAGCTGACGTGGTCCTGGAAGCCTGCAGCCGTCATGTGAATTCCGCATGGCCAGGAATCAAACCTCATCTTTGAAATCTAACAACGTTGACTTCGCAAGCACTAGAACATCTCTGGAATGTCATGAGTTCCCTAACAACGAGAGACTCTTGTTCCTCGCTATAACAATCTTTGCATAGCTTAAACTCCTTGAGGACTTGCGAATTCTCCAAGAAATATTTTGATAGTTTTATCTCTGCTCCATTCCAATCTTTGTATCTTATAATCTCAACATTCTCTAGGCTTGATTGCAAACACTTTGGCACTGATGATGATGATAAAATTATTTCTTCATTTTCCATTACACCTTTCAGCTTCTGCATATGTTTATTATCCCAAACAGATGAATATATAAAACGACTTTTATAAAAATAAAAGTGAAACATGTGGTTTTTAAAGTAAAATCATTTACCAAGACAAGGGATTTGAGATTTGGACAGCTCTCGAGAACGCATGGCAACATATCCAAATCACAAATATAGAATTTCGCTTGTAACCACGTCATGTTACGATACTGAGGCATCGGTTCGTCCTTCAAGTAGTGACAAATGATCTGCAAACACAAAGAAATTGCAATTTCATCCAAAGAGACAACATTCAAATGTTCAGCTTTATATATATATGAAGTTTGTAGTTGGCAACGTTTAACTTTCTTTTAGCTTATATTTTTTCAGCAATCCGATAAACGTTATATTTTTTCTTTTGAATATAATTTAACATTACATTCAAAAATAATAATAATATATATATATATATATATACCTTGAAAGTTTTTCCACTTATAGTCATGTCCCTTACACTTGAGAGCCCGGTGAGTAATTTACCGACATTGCTTCTCTCGAACGAGTCTTCGAGTTCCCAAATATCGAACCCAAATTGCTTATCACAAAACTCACTGACTGATCATCTTTAAGACTCAGATACGCGAGCCGAGGAGCATCAATGATAACTTCCCAATCGCCACTATCATCATTATACCAACACTTGGAACTATCAAGAACGAGTTTGAGACTATTTAGTGACTGAGAGCGCACCCGTAAAACCTTAACGGTTGTTTCATCTACACTCCTAACGACAGTTAAATCTTCAAGAACCGGGCAGGATGAGATCAAGCTCTCCAGAGTATCATCATCATTGTATATATTATCTTCTAAATGCATCACCTTGAGATATGGTAAAGACACAAACACGAAACGATGCAGCAACACAAAATGAAGTCTCAATGAAACCAAAGTCTCAGATAAGTAAAAGGTTAGATGCAGCATATCAATCATTTCATCCACACGACTGTCAACTTCAAGATGTTGGATTTTACGCTTAAATGCGTCTTCGATCCACGGCTTGATTGTACACATATCAACATCTTCCCTCCCAAAAGAAAGCTTGAGCTTGTGTAAGCATGAATCCTTAGAGAAATCTAGAAACCGAGAGGCGAAAGTGACGAATGTAGTGACATCAACAATGTCTATATCCAAGATAGGGATTGAAAGCCAGATATTTCTCCATCTGGTGGACAAAATGCTAGTAGTAACAGCATTCTTCGTAGGAAGATCAGAGAGTATCTGACATAGCAAATGATCAGGTAAGCTACTTATCCTATCTTCTCTAGATCTATGATTTGCTCCTCGGTTACTCATTTGATTTCTCTTTTGGGAAAAACATTCAACACAAGTTATCTGCATCACAAACAAAAATGCGAAAACCGAAAGTTTTCAAAAGATGATCCATGGTTTCCATATAGATACCATTATTTCATAATTCAGCTATTCCACTATTCATCTAACATACTAATGGTCAAAAGCGAAATATTTTAGAGAGAAATGAAAAGTCACCGTCGATTTTTCGCAAGAAACCAATAGCCGGCGATTGTCGCCGGCCCCCACAGATTCGCTACAAAGAGTCTATAGATTCTCTCTGCTTAAGAAAAGCTTCCTTTACAATGGCTTTAGATGGAAAGATAAAATAAAGATCTAAACTAGAGATGGGAGTTGACTATGAAGGGGATTTGTGAGAAAAAAAAATTGAAATCTAATGAATAAAAAAATAACTGCAAATTTAAGTGTTATAGAAACTTGTAGAAACTAGTGTATCACTAGTGTTGGATAAGTCCCTTAAACTTCAACAACAACTTCACACGAAGCAGAACATCTCCTAAATCTCAGGAGTTCCCTGAAGATGATAGAATCTTCCTCCATTCTTTTACAACCCAATTGCAGCGTAAACTTCTTGAGCACTGCCGAATTCTCGAGGAAGTACTTTACTAGTTTCATTTCCGGTTCAGCTCCGCTTATCCGTGTATGAATCTCAACGTACTCCAGGGATGATCTTAAACATTTTGGGATTGATGATGAGAGAATAAGTATTTCATTCTTCTTAAATTCCTCCAGCTCCTGCATATAAAAAACATCCAAGAAGTAGACGAATTATAAGACCAGTTATCTTTATAATGATGATGTGAGTAAGCCATAAGGTAAAAGTTTAAGCCAAATTCATCACCAGTACAAGAGATTTGAGATTTGGACAGCTCTCAAGAAAGTTTGGTAGCTTTTCCAAATCAGAGTTATAGAAGACCGCATAGAATTGGATCATGTTAGGAAACTGTGGCAGCGGTTCGTGTCTCATGGAGCGAGAGAGGACCTGAAAACACAAAGAAAAGACAACTTTTTTCATCAAAAGAGACGTTCAAATACTCAGTTACTCCCATTGACATATATATATATACCTTCAAAGTTGTTCCACTCATAGTCATGTCCCTTACGCTCGAGAGCCTGGTGAAGAAGTTTCTCACTACACTTCTCTTTAAAGAGACATTTCTCAATACACTTCTCACCGAATCGAAACTGATATCAATATCTACCTTGGTAGGTGAACTCAAACTGCTTAATACGAAACTTTTAGACTGGTCATCTCTAAGACTCAAATAGCTGAGTCCAGGAGCATCAATCACAACCTCCCAACCATCATCCTCAATATACCGATCACCATCGAGAACAAGTATGAGACTCTTTAATGACAGAGAACACACTCGTAAAACCTTAACGATATTCTCTAAATCTCTAGAGACATTTAAATCTTCAAGAACTGGGCAAGATGAGATAAGATTCTCCAAAAGAGCATCATTAGGGTAAATGTTGTCTTCTAAATGCATGATCTTGAGACGAGGTAGAGAAACATAATCAAAATCAGGCAATGACACATAATGGAGTTTCAAGGATACAAGAGTCTCACAGGTGTAAAGGCTAAGGGGCATCAGCTCCGTACCTAAATAACTCCAACCACATGATAAAATATCCAAATCTTGAACTTCAAGCATAACCGCATTGTGTATCCACTGCGTCAAGTAAGACTGATCACGCTGATTTCTATTAAGAGCAAGTTTAAGCTTGTGTATACATGTCTCCCTAGGGATATCTAGAAAGCCATGGACAACACTCGCAAATTCATAGTAACCACGGAACTCTAAAACGTCAAAATCGGCTAGAGGAACCGAAAGCCAGACTCTTTTCCATCTTTTGGACAAAACACTAGTCTTAACAACAATCTTTGTAGGAAGATCAGAGAGTATCTGACACAGCAAATGATCAGGTAACAAACTTATCCTATCTTGACATGTTAGTCCTCTCTTCTTGCTCATTGTTTGCTTAACTTTTGAGACACACGTAAGATCTGCATCAATAGAGGATGGTTAGAAGAAATAAGAACTCACCGTCAATTACATTAGCAGCTGAGGCTTCAGGAGATTCGTCTTCTAGGGTTAGGGTTTCGGAAAATTATCTGGTTTCTAAGAATCTAACATATATCTTTTGTTTATCTGTTTTTTTCCCGCGGGATTTTTGGTTTAGATAATATCAAACAATTTATACCTAACTAAATCCGTTAAATAAAAAAAAAAGAAATATCAAATGTGTACTTGAATTTGAGATCTAAACAAGGAAAAATCAGACAATATCACTTTGAAATCCTCAAACATCATCCATGAGCTTTACTAACACATTTGATCATAGTATATAACACATTTCACAAGTTTCTGAAGTAAATTGAAGAGTTTGTGCAAGTTAGTTCATTACCAATATTAGGGATTTTAGATTTGGAAAGTTTTTAAGAAAATTTGGCAGACATCTCAGGGCCCTTAAAGAAAAATCTGCTTCCAAACAGGACAGATTGCAAAATTGGGGTAATCGCATAACTTCTAAGATGAACTACTCACAAAGAAAAAGAAAAGAGATGTGAATATTTGTGAGAAACGATTTCATGAATGACCATTATATATGTATATGAATTGCATAGACATATACCTCGGAAGTGTGGCAAGAGATCTTCATGACAACAAAATCAAAAACCTTTAAAATGTTTTTGGAATCCCAAACATCATCCAAGAGTTGTTTGATCAAAGCTCACAAAAACACAAATAACAGAGTTTAACGAAATCAAAATCCCCACACTGTTTTTGATTTTAATCCAATCTAAACTCTGATCACAGATAAACATAAAAGTCATCTTCTCGGTCCAATAACCTCTATGTTACATATTCTAGATCGCCTCGGCAATGTAAGAAGAGCGATTAACACAGCTTGATCGTCTTCTTCAACGGAATCTTTCAAACGAATAACAAGTTTCTTGAGGATTACAGAGTTCTTTGCAAAGTACCTTGTGAGTTCCATTTCGATAGGCTTTACATGGAACATGAGTTTTATCTCTACAAACTCGAGCGATGATCGCACACACCTAGGCACGGACGAGAGTCTTGTTTGTTCTGCCACCGAGGAATAAAGTAAATCCTGTAAATACACAAAACATTCAGAATGGATGAGTGAATTTTGGATAACACCAAACAAAATCTTGTAAGTGTATTGAGTTAAACTCTAGAGTTTGTTTGTACAAGTCATTACCAAGATTAGGGATTTCAGATTCGGACATCTTTTAAGAAACTCTGGTACTGTTTTCAGGGAGCAAAGATAAAGCTGTACTTCTAAACAGGACAGGTGCAAAATTGGAGTGAAAGTAGCTTGATAGGCATGATGAACTTACTCACAAAAAAAGATAAAAAAAAACATAAAAGAGGATATAAGAATATTGGTGAGCAAAATTTTCATGAAAGACCATATATATGAATTGCATAGACATATATACCTCGTAAGCCTCGAAAGAGAGCTTCATATCTCTAATCCCGGATATACTGGTGAAAAAATTACGGACCATGTATCGCTTCCGTATGTCAGCTTCATCAGCACTATCCTCCAGGTCAAAATACTCACAAATATTAATCTTGGTTAAGGAATCTAAATTGCTAAGAATATCAAACCCACATATATCCTCTTCGAGATTCAAATACTTAAGTCTATGGGTATCAATCAAAACCCTCAAATATTCATATTCAAATTCCTCAGCCAAAGCTTCAACGTCGTCATCATTGGAACCAGCTTCTATACTGAGACTGGTTAATGTCTGGGAGCGCACTCGCAAAAGCTTTACATTATCATCTAGCCTTCTAACTATGATCAAATCTTCAAGAACAGGACAAGATGAGATAAGCAAATCTAGACCCGTCTCATTGGCATATACGTTTAGTTCTAAACGCATAGTCTTGAGACAAGGTAAAGACACAGACTCAAACTTACCCAAAAATACCCGATGGAGTCTTAAGAAAAGGAGTGTCTCACCGATATAGAGGCTTAAGGGCATCACTTCCAAACACTCACGCTTCACAGGACCAAACTCAACTTCAAGATGCTTAAGTTTAGGTGTAGCCACAAAATCTATCCAACGCGTGACACAAGAGTGATCATCACTCTCACCCTTCTGAATACTTAGCCTGAGCTTGTACAAGCATGACTTCTCTTCCCTAGAGAAATTTAGGAACTTTTCCATAAAACCCACAAATGCATTGTAATCTGGGAACTCGGAAGAGTCCAAATCCAACTTGGGAATCAAAAGCCAGACACTTTTCCACCTATTCGACAAAACACTAGTCCTAACAGCTTCTTTTGTCTGAAGATACAAGAGTATCTGAGTTATCAAAGAATCGGGTAATCTGCTTATCATATCCGCCATTAAATTAAATCCGCTCGCAAAATCGAACCGAGGAAGATTCCGCAGTGAAAACCTAGAATTCTAAGTATAAAGAACCCATTTAGGACGAGTTTCAGAAACAGATCAGCATTATAAAATCAGAAAGTGACGAAGAAAGTGAAATGACCTGATAGGTATAGAGATGGAGAAGAAGTCTTAGCGAAGTTGTTGTCACATAGGCATTGAAAGAGAGAGTCTTTTTAGGGTTTATGCCTTTATTTCGAACATTCAAGCTCTAGTACACGCGTTTCAAACATCATCCAAATTACAAACCAAAGTTTTCCAAATTGAAAGAAAAAAAAAGACAGATCCGAATTACAAACCAAATTCCATAAGCAGAGTTTTCCAAACTGAACCGAACTAAAGTGAAAATTCACAACATCAATTCCGACAACGGATACATCATATCACGTACAACAAGGCTGGCTTCACAGGCACTAGAACGTCTCTGGACTGTCTCGAATTGCTCAAAGATGATATTCTCTTGTTCCTCGTTATCACAATCCATATCTAGTGTAAACCTCTTGAGGACTAGCGAATTCTCCAGGAAATACTTTGATAGTTTCATCTCTGCTCCATTTCCATAGTTGGGTCTTATAATCGCAACATCCTCAAGGCTTGATTGCAAACACTTTGGCACTGATGATGATGATAAACTTATTTCTTCATTTTCCACTCTACCTCTCACCTTCTGCAGATCCTATCATCCCAAACAAATGATTTAAGAATTTTGTTCTAGTGGTGAAACTGAAACATATGGTTTTTAAAGAAGAATCAATTACCACGACAAGGAGTTTGAGATTTGGACAGCTCTCAAGAATGCCTGGCAACATTTCCAAATCAGAAATATAGAAATCCACCTGTAACCGCGTCATGTTATGAAACTGAGGCATCGGTTCGTGCTTCAGATAGTGACACATGATCTGCAAAACACCAAGAAATTGTGATTTTCATCCAAATAAGACACATTCAAAAGTTCAACTGTATATATATGCGAATACCTTCAAAGTTGTTTCCCTTATAGTCATGTCCCTTACGCTTGCGAGTCCGGTGAGTAATATACAGACGTTGCTTCTATCGAACGAGTCATCTAGATCCCAAATTTTGTTCACCTTGAAACTGACATCAATATCTACCTCTGCGGATGAACCCAAATTACTTATTTCAAAACTCACTGAATAAGTATCTGTAAGACTCAGATAAGCGAGTCTAGGAGCATCAATGAAAACCTTCCAATCGCCATTAGCACCTATGCACCACTCCTTGGTACAATCAACAACGATTTTGAGACTGTTTAGTGACTGAGAGCGCACCCGTAAAACCTTAACGTCGGTTTCATCTACAATCCTAACAACGGTTAAATCTTCAAGAACCGGGCAAGATGAGATAAAATTCTCCAGAGTATCATCATCATCATCATCACCATCACTGTATATAATCTCTTCTAGATGCATCACCTTGAGATTAGGCAAAGACACAAACTCGAAACAAACCAGAACCAAACACTTAACTCTCAATGAAACCAAAGTCTCACTTAAGTAAAGGCTTAGAGGCACCATATCAATCGTCTGTTCCAAATAACACTCGACATCAAGATGTCGGATTTTACGCTTAACTGCATTATGGAGCCACCACATGATTGTACACATACTAACATCTTTCCTCTTACCAAAAATCTTGAACTTGTGTAAGCATGAGTCCTTATGGAAATCTAGAAATCCAGAGGCGAAACTGACAAAATCGTTGAAATCATCAAAATCATCAATGTCTATATCAAAGAGAGGGTTCGAAAGCCAGAGATTTCTCCATCTGGTGGACAAAATGCTAGTAGAAACAACATTCTTTGTAGGAAGATTAGAGAGTATCTGACATAGCAAATCATCAGGTAGGCTGCTTATCCTATCTCCACGGTTGCTCATTTGATTTCTCTTTTGGGAAAAACATTCAAGACAAGTTATCTGCATCACAAACAAAAATGCAAAAATCGTTATAAGAAGATGATCCATGGTTTCCATATTGCATGATTCAGCTATTCCGCTATTTATCGGACATACCAATGCTCAAAAGAGGAACATAAGAGAGAAATAGAAATACAAAATTACCAACAATTCTTCGCTGCCGAAGAAACCAATAGCGGCGAATATCGCCGCCCCCACAGATTCGCTTCAAAGAGCCTTTAGATTCTCTCTGCTTAAGAAACCCTTCTTTTAAATGGCTTTAGATGGAAAGATAATATAAAAATCTAAACTAGAGATGGTAGTTAACTGAAGAGATGGTAGTTAACTGAAGAGGATTTGTGAAAAATAAAAAATGAAACGTAAATACGTAAAGAATAAAAAATTAACCGGTTCGGGTAAGAATATACATAAAATCACAATACCAGACTATACTAAAAGGGAAACTGCAAACTGAAGTGTTACAAAAACCTGTGTATCATAGTTGGATAAGCTTCTACACTTTCAACAACTACTTCACAAGAAGTAGAGTATCTCCTAAATTTCAACAGGTCCATGAAGATGACAGACTCTTCGTCCATTTCGCTACAACCCAATCGCAGCATAAACTTCTTGAGCACTGCCGAATTCTCGAGGAAATACTTTACTAGTTTCAATTCCGCTCCAGCTTGGTTTATTGGTATTTTCATCTCGACATATTCCATGGACGATATTAAACATTCTGGAACTGATGATGAGAGCATCATTTGTTCATTCTTGTATTCCATCAGCTCCTGCATATAAATCATTCAAGAAGTAGGTAAGTAAGGTAGTTATCTTAATCATGATAATGTGAGTTAGCAATAAGGTAAAGTTTAAGCTAAATCATCACCAAAACCAAGGATTTGAGGAAACTGGGGCAGCAGTTCTTGGTTCAAGTAGAGACAAATTAATCTGAAAACACAAAGAAAAGACTAAAATTTTTATCCAGAGAGACGTTTGAATTTTTATATACTCCATTGACATCCAAAAAGACGGTCAAATATATACCTTCAAAGTTTTTCCACTTATAGTCATATCCCTTACGTTTGGGAGACCGATGAGGAATTTTCTCACTGCGCTTCTCTTTGAGGAGACATTTCCAGCAGAATGATTGTAAAAAACATCATAATTGACATCAATATCTACCTTGGCAGATGAACTCAAATTGCTTATTGCGAAACTTCTCGATCCAAGTGTTGAACTTTACGCATAATCGCATTGTGGATCCACCGCGTCATGTAAGATGGATCACGGTGATTTATCACAAACGAAAGTTTTGACTTCTGTATGCATAGTTCCTTAGAGTAGTCTAAGAACCTGTTCATAAAGCTCACAAAATCATGGTAACGAACGGAAATCTGAAATCTTCAAATCCAACATAGGATACGAAAGCCAGACACTTTTCCATCTCTTGGACAAAACACTAGTCCTAACAGCAATCTTTGTAGGAAGATGTGAGAGTATCTGACACAGCAAATGATCCGGTAACAAACTTATCCTATCTTCTCCTGTGCTACGACCTCTTACTCTCTCTCTGTCATTGTTTGTTTCACTTTCAGGCACACTTGAAGATCTACAAAATTTACAATTTAAACATAAATAGACATATCTATGCATATGCGGCATTGTAACAGAGTAAAATGAACATGAATACATTCAAAACTGGAGCAGATTAGAAAAATGCTAAGCCAGAGAAACTGAGTGAAATTAAGTCAGCAACAGAATCACTTCGTCGATTTACGGTTTCGTGGTTTTCTGATTCTATGTAGAGGAGAGACAATAGAAGAAGAGTAGAGCAAGAAAGAGCTCACCGTCGATTCGTCGCCGAAGAATGTAGCACCGGAGCTCTTGATTGATACCCTCTCAGAGTCACTGGAGGTTTTGAGAGATTCGTCTGTAATAAGGAAAAATATTTCTTTTTATTGGGCCTGAGGCCCACTTAGAGGCTTTGAACTTTTGAGTTTTATAATAATCTCTTAATGCAAAATCGAAACCACTTTAAACTTTTGAGTTTTGGAATCCTCAAACATCATCCTAACAAAAATATGAAAAGAGAATTTAAGTTAACACAATCAAAATCCAAGTTATTTTAACAGAACCTTTTTCTTCAACCTAAAGTCTTAGTCCTAAATCCAGCAACATATAGGATTTGACAGGTGTTAAATCACCTACGCAATACAAGGAAATCCCAAAAGCTCACAAAAACATCATAAGCAACAAAATAAAAAATCCAAGTCCAACTTAAGTAACCAGCTGGGAACACTACTCTTAATCTGATCATAGACCTACCTAAAACCTTTCAAGCCGTCAACAAACGACGATTCGACATGTGCTAGATCCTCTGGGCAATGCAAGGAGATCCCTTAAGATGCAAAATCCTTCTTCTAGCGTGGAACACCTCAAATGCAGAACAAGTTTTTGGAGAACTCCTGAGTTTTCTAAAAAGTACCTTGCTACTTCCATTTTAGCAGGCTTTCCGTTGAAATATTTTATCTCTACAGACTCGAGTGACGATACCAAACACCGAGGTACGGATGTGAATTTTATCTGCTCATCCTCCTTCGACGGATCAAATCCCTACATAAACCCAACATTCCAAACAAACAGGAATGAATATATGATAACACATTCCTCAAAGTATTTTGAGTAAAAGCTTAAGGGTTGTGCAAGTCATCACCAACACCAAGACGAGCGATTTTAGATTGGGACAGCTCTCGAGAAGAGTTGGCAGAATTTCCAAAAAATATAAAGAGAACTTGGCTTTTAAACGGGAAAGGTTGCGAAACTGGGGCAGTGGGTCAAAGTCCATGTTACAATAGAGAAACTGCTCACCAAATAAGAATGAAAGTGAGCAAAAACTTCATGAATCAACACAAGATACAAATACAATGTGTGTAAGTATGTATAAATACCTCCACAAAATGCCCAGAGATCTTCATATCTCTAACTCCCGAGATACTGATAAAAAAATTACGGACCATATTTCGCCTTGGTAAATCAACAACATCAGCACAATCATTCTCATTGAAGACATAAACAATGTTGACCTTGGCTAAGGAACCCGAATTGGTTATGACTTTACTCTCCGATAGATCATCTTGGAATTTCAAATACTTGAGTCGAGGGGCATCAATCAAAACCTCTGAGTGTTTTGTATCAAAATCATCAACCATGTCATCATTCTCACCAAAATAAAAGTCTATATCAAGACTGGTTAATGTCAGAGAGTGCACTCGTAGGACCTTTATGTTGTCTTCTACCATTCTAAGAATGCTCAAATCTTCAAGAACTGGGCAAGACGAGATAAATGACTCTAGACTTGCATCATTGGCGTATACATTTTCTTCTAAACGCATAGCATCAGGTAATTTGCTTATCAGATCCTCTCCAGTAATTAAGTAAGTTAGCGGCGGCCGTTCGCGGTATTTCGCTTTCAAAAACTTCAAAAATTCTTCGTCCATCAGATTTGCTTGCGAAACTGAACCGAAGATTCCACAGAAACAATCTCGAATACTAAGTATAACAAGGACGTATTTAGCACGAATTCAGACACAAATCTCGATTTTTCAACAGACCTATTCAAACCAGGAAGGCCTCTAAAATGGGAAAGTAGTGAAGAAGATGAAGTCACCTGACGAGTTCAGGGTTTTGTGTTCCGGATGATCTGACGGGAGACGAAGACACAGTCGCCGTCAAGTTCTCCAAAGAGGTTAATGTGTATACCAAGGGTCAGATTAATAAACATTTGCTCTCATTTTGCGGTTTGTAAATCGGTTTTAACTTAAACCGTAAATTAGAGATGTGAAATTGTCTGAAGAGTTTTTACTTGGAAATTAATCTTTAGAGGTTTTTGAATTATACTCTCATGAGTTTTGATTGGTGACACGAAACAGTTTTCTAACTTAAACAGAAAGAAAGCAACAAAAAATATACTAACATAGTTAGACGCAATGCAGTAAAAAATAGAGATTCAAAAAACGGTGGAAATATTGGTTCCGATACCGCTAATTATTAACTATTTTTATTTTTATGATTAGTAACTATTAAAACGATATACATCTTTTATTGCCGTGGTAAAAAGTTATCGATCAAACATCTAATCGCAAATGGTGACCGTGATGCGCGGGTACAAAATTAGGTAATATATATTCACTGACTGTAAATCAATTACTATAAAATGGATAAACTGTTGATGACAACTAGGAATTTTGAACCCTTGCATCAATCTAAACACTTGTAGCTCAAGCAGAATCTTGAATTCTAAATCATAAAAAACAAAAGAAAAAAAAAACTAACACTTTAAAAAAAAAAAAACCCAAAAACCAAGAAAAGAAAAAGAAAAAGAAAGAACAAAAATTGAAGTCTCACAATTACTGAATCACAAATAAATCCCATAGCTAAATATTTGTAAATAAAACACAGAAAAATTGAAAATAAATCAAAAGAAACACTTCGGAGTTTCTCCTCTTTCCTTGTCTTTTGATAAAAGTCTCCTTTCTTCCTACTTGTTACCGGTACGTCTCTATCTCCCCTATCAATTTTCCTTTGTCATTTAAAATTGTCTTTATTTCTCCAGAAAAATTAATAACCTTCTCTTTTCTCCCTGAAACATGTTACCAGAACACAACTCTACTAACTCGGGACATAAGTCCCGATCCAGCCAAGCCCACTGATGAAGAAAGACATTGTCTGAAGAAACAAGTAGATGAAGTAATTGTTCTTCCCGTGCACAAAGTCATAGCATCCACACACGAACAAGAACGCCGCGAATCCAAGCTCCAATGTATTCAATCTGACACAAATAGTATCATTTAGTGTATATCCCTAGTTTCTAATGACATATATTTTTGTAGAAAGTAGACATACCGATCAGGCAATTTGAAGATTCTTGGGAACCTTTTGAGCCCTTTTGTGTTTCCTTTAGCACTCTGACCGCTCCCAAGCTTAGCAGTCACGACCCATTCGTTAGCCCTTCCTGCCTCAAATAGACCAATGAGAGTAGCCTTTGTCCGGTGCAACGACATCACATTCTCAAATAGAATCCAATAGAACAGCAGATGAATCGACCTTTTAACAAAATCAGATATAAAAAAAGATTAAACGCAGTTACTTGACATATAAGCAACCCAATAAGAAAGAAACAAAGGTAATGACTTGAGATACAAGGAACACAATTTACCTTGGAGTACCGACTGAGTTGAGGATAGTGATGATGGAAGGGATATAAACGGAACCCCAAATCGGAACTTTAACTTCGGGGACGAGAATAGTAAGAGGAAGAACAACGCAGTAGAAACAAAATGTAACCCAATGTGCAATGATTTTCCTCACAAAGAAGAAACTGTAGATCACATACACTTTCTTCCAGAATCTCACTTTCTGCGCCAGATCAGTAATAGGATCAGATTAAAGAATTTGAGTAATCAGAAGAAAAAAAGTGTGAAATTTTTTAAAAAATTTATTACCTTGTTTCTTATGATCTCCATAACCATTTTCCTAAAGAGATTTGCAGGTCCACAAGACCATCTATGTTGCTGAAAACGGAAGGCTCTAAAAGTACTTGGAAGTTCACTTTTCACCTATAATACAAAGAAAGAAAAAGAAAGACTTATATTTATGACGTATACCAATTTTTCTACAAGTAATAAGAAAATATCTTTACTTCTTAAAAAGGTAAAATGATTATAACGTAACTTGTGATGAGAGAAGTATCTTGTGTACCAACTACTTTTTGTTATGTGTTTAATTTGTTCTAACTATACAATAATTTGTTCTAACTATCTAATTTTTGTATTTATAGAAAAATATCAATAAATAAATAAAAACCTGAAGGTCACCGAGGTAGAGAAATTTCCAGCCGCGAAGACTAGCTCGGACGGCGAGATCCATATCTTCCACGGTGGTCCTATCTTTCCACCCGCCAGCTTCATTTATCGCCGCTATTCTCCAGATTCCGGCGGTTCCTATGATTTTTATTACAATACATAAAATAAGCTTTAGTATTTATTTATATCTACATTAATTAAACTTTATCTATGACAAAAACACATTTAAGATCCGCCTCCCATTTGCTTCCTCCACAAGTCCTAATGTAATGAATGTGTCCCCTTACACTAGCTACTACAGTATTACTAAATAAATTGAACACATGATTTTAAAAACCAATTAATTAGATTCTTCAAGCTTGCAAATCTAACTTATAAAACAAGGAATGACTACAACTATTTAAGTAGCTACTTGCTTCACATTTCAGATTCCCCACTCCTCTCCATTAATGATTGATTATTTATAAATTATTATGATTCCTTATGATTATTTTATTCTTCAGTTTTCTAGTAACAGTTCTACACTATCATAAAACAAAAAAAAATAAAATAAAGTTTTGGGTCCACATACTATGCTTCAATTGGTCGGACAACATACTCACCCTAAACTCTAACCACATCAATAGACAACAATATTTACTAGCAAAACACCTAAAAATTTTAGGTTATGAAAACTAAATGATGTTTTTAGTAATCATTACGATTATAAATTAATCATTTTTTTTTTTTACCGTTGAAGCCGAAAAAAGCATGTGTTGATGAACCGACTTCTTGCTCAACAGTGAAATGGTAATCCAACGACATTTCTTGCATCCTTGTCAATAAGCACTCATCAGAATTTACTGCAAAGTATAAAACAAGATTAAAACATTAGTCCAAAAAATAAATCGTACGATAAACAAAACATACAATTTAATAAGACAAACAAAGCTCTATTTAAATCTTAAATTGTTTATTAAAAGAATCGTCCAAATGTGGCACTATCAGGAAGTAACGTCCTTCTCTTTTGTTTGTAGCTTTAATAAAACAATCATATTCATATAGCTTTCTCATGCTTAAAAATATTAATTAAATACATATAAAAGAAACTATATAGTATACACTACCAAGTGTCGGCAAGAGAAACGCAGGTCCACAGTAGACTCGATACTCCTACTGTAGGCTAACAATACTTTTACTAATACTGACAAGATGGGTCTCACACTTAGCATTTAAAGAAAGGCAAAGAGCACGTGGAATGTATCAGAGACCCGACAATTTCTAAAGACGACCAGTTAACAAACCCGAACCCGATTCAATTAAACCGGGCTTAACCGATTCGATTTTTATTGACCGACGGATCCAAAATTCCGGAGCAGATAAGAAACGTAACATGACGTCAGCAGAATTATCCGTTGACCCGGAATTGCGCAACTAAACCGACCTTCAGAGAGAAGAAGTAGTTTTGATCCAGTGCGTTAAGGTGTAACTAACTCTAATGTAAAACTAAGGACAACGGTTTTTACACGTGGCTTATTTTAGTTGGTTAAATAGACCCACTACACTAGTGCAGCTACTCCGCCGACACAAACAGAACTAACCCTACTTCTTCAATCAGACAATATATAGAGGAAAAAATAATAATTTTATATCAAAGAAAAATACAAAATTGAAGAAAAAGACCATTTCAAAAAGCTAAAAAATAAAGGTTGATAATAATAAGAAAAAAAGTGTGCAAGAAAAAGGAAAAGGCGATAAAATAATATTATTAAAAAAAAAACAGTGAAGGGCATATACCACCGACACCACTAATGTAGCTAACAAGAACCAAAACCACGAGCTCTCATTAAATGATCTAAACAACATTAAATTTTTCATAAAACATAAACAAAGACACCGATTCAGTAGTAGTATTTGACCCTGACACTTGCACACCATTATCAACATTATCAAATGTCATTTTTCTATCACAACAACCACTCTTATTGATCAATATAAACAAGCTATTCAATTACTATCAAATTGAAGATACTCTACCAATTTTGATCAAAAATAGATGATTAGCGAAATAATTACCGAACCGCCATCGGGCCTGAACCAAGGCAATGTTGGGATTGTGCATGAGAAAAGGAATGCTACGGCGAAGAAAATCCGGTTCGGGCTGAAAATCGGCGTCGAAGATGACAACATACTCACAATGTTTGACATAACTACGTTTGAGTCCTTCCTTTAAAGCACCGGCTTTGTAACCAACTCTATTTTCTCTTATTTGATACCTAATATTGATTCCTTTACTTGCCCATCTTTGGCACTCCATTTCCACCATTTGCTGCACATTTTAAGTATCTCATTTAAATCACACATAAAAAAAAATCTATCAATGTTCCAAATTTATTAATATTTCCCATTTTCTTTCTTACCCACCGGAAAATATTACATCTCTTTTCAAGAAAGGAAAATATCTTTTGAAAAAATGGTAAAAAATCTCATTTAATTGGAGAAAGTTGTGGAAAAATAATGCTCCTATATTTTTATAAATGGACTAAGCAAAAAAAAAAGTAATAATAATTACCTTAACAGTAGGATCTGTTGAGTCATCTAACACTTGAATCACGAGACGATCGGACGGCCAAGAGAGTCCACACGCCGCTCCTATTGATAGCTTATAAACCTGCACGGCAAAAATCACGGGGAAGCAAAAAAATCTCTTTGTCAAAACTTTTTCACTTTTAGTCCACTAATTTAGTGATTTATAACGAGTTAACCCTTAAACTATAGGTTTATACAGGAAAACCCAAAAACTCAGAGAATAATTAAGAAATATGCGTCACGATTATCGCCGTTTCGGGATTTGGAACGGCGGAGGAATATGAATACGTGGGGAAAAGTTATTTTCCGTAAAATCTGAGTTTACTTTTCTCGAAAAGCTTAAAACTTTAAGGAGAAACAGAGCAAAAAACAGAGCAATGAACAGAGAGAGATAGAGACCGACCTCTCGTTCGTTGAACATGGGGATTTGTACGAGGACGACTGGGAAATTGGAGCTACCAAGCTCTTCATCATCGTGAATGGGCTCGAATTTGTAACGTTTGTCTGGTTTTTTCCAGAAGAGTTTGACGAGAACGATGACGATTCCCATGTAAACCCTCTCACATAAAAGCATGACAGACATAAGCAAACAGATGTAAACAGCTAATTGAAGAAGAGGGACAATCACTGGTGCTTTTACAAGCTCCCAGATCATGCCTAGTTGCCCTGTGATCTCCATCCTCACGCCGTCGAATGTCTCCGGCAACACAAACTTTGGTGAAACACCTTCCATTTTTTCCTTGTCTCTTCTCTTCTCTTTGAGTGTAACAATGGCGGGCTTTTGTGTAATGGGTTTATGGAATGATGTAGAGAGAGAGATTGCCTTGAGAAAATGGAGGCTTTTCTCTCTCTATAGTTTTAAAGAGAGAGAAAACTTAGGAAGAGAGAGAGCCAGAAGGAGAAATGTGGTTTAAGGGAGACGAGGAAGAGAAGGATAAACGAGGAGGAATATAAATGGTGATTTTTTTGTTTTTACTTTATTTGATTTAATTTTATTTATTTGTAAGATATTTTTCCTTTTTTTGATTAATTTTTAGAGATTTTTTCTATAGAGAGTAGTAAAGGTTAAAAGGAAATAAAAGAAAGAAACAAAAACCTCAGTAACAGTTGTTTTGTGTCTTTGTGAGAATTTTTGCAGTTAAAGAAATTCTGATAAAAAACAACCGAGGAGATTTTTGTTGTTCAGTTTCTGGGTTTTGTTATTTCAGAATCTGTGCTTGCCCAATGGGAAGAGAAAGGACAGAGATATAGATTTCTAATGAATTTATTATCCTAATGATACCCTTTTATAATGATTAACGATTTCATGAGGACCATGAGGTTTTTTTTTTTCAAAAACTTTTTACCATTTATGGGATTTTGGTTTCTTCAGCTTTTTTATAACAATTTACTTATTTTAGGTCAACTTTCTAGAACTCATTTTGTCAACCATATGAATTCACTCTAACTTCTTTCTTTTTTTATTGGGATTTATTTAATTTATGAAGGCTCTCATGGGTAACCGCATAATGACAGAATGACGAATTTTAATGCGATTATGCAAAAATTTTGTCAATCAAGAATATATGCATAATCGCATTAGAAAACGCAAAAACGTAGGATTTACGTTTTAGCCTAAAAAAACAGAAGTAAAATCTCATTATGCAAATAAATGTGTATATAGTTATTTGCATAATAATTTTTATTATTTTATCCACACAAAATATTTGCAATTAAAAATACAAGAAAATATTTTTTTTCTACGAAACTTATATTTATTAATATTTTAAAATTGAAGATTTCACATTGTTTCACAATCTTAAAAATTTCACAATGTTTTAACCAAAATTTTCATATTTATATATTTATATTATCAAATATTACTTAAATTTATTAAACATTACGCAAAATGTATGTAAACAACATTTTTTTTAAATAATTTCATTCTACGATTTTTTATTCTGCAAGTTTTCATTCTGCGAATTTTATTCTGCAACTTATGTTATAATGCGATTATGCAGTGGTACCAATCGGAGCCGAAATCTTGTTCTCTCGATTGGTAACCCGCATAATGGCGGAATGGTATTTTCTAATGCGACTATGCAAGAATTTTGCCAATCAAGAAAATTTGCATAATCATATTAAAAAACGCAAAAACGCAGGATTTGCGATTTGCGTTTTCGCATTAAAAACAGAAGTAAAAACTCATTATGCAAATAAGTGAGTATATACTATTTATTTGCATAATGAATTTTTATTATTTTATCTATACATATAATCCTTGTTCTAAAAATCTCCGCCTAACCCGATTATTTCCCGCTTAATCGCTAGGCCCACCCTATCCGCCTCGATTAATGACTAATCCCCTAAAGAAATCAGTTACCCGATTACTCTCCGCCTAATCCGATTACTTCCCGCCTAATCCGATTACTCCCCACCTAATTTTACATATTCCGACTATTTTTAGATTGCAAGTATAAAAAACTTTTGTTATTCAATCATTTAAATTGGGAGTTTGTGATGTTTAACAATAACTTATGTGCAAAGTTTAATAAAGATCATAAATTTGTAATAAAACTCATAAAATTTTATCTCAAAATATAGTTTTATGTATTTACTGCGATAAAAATATTAAAATAACCCTAAAACTAATCCCCGATTTTAATCCGATTTTCCGATTAATCGCTAGGTTCATACCGAGCGTCCGACTAGCGCCTAGCGATTTTTCAAACAATGCATATAATTAGTAATTAAAAAAGTAAGAAAATAAGTTTTTACTATGAAATTTATATCATTTTCGAATAATATATTAAATTTCACAACTTTTTAATAATTTTAAATATTTAAATATTTTTATTATCAAATATTACTTAAAATTTATTAAAAACATTATTTTGTTTGTTAAATATAAGTATATATTGATGATATGATATTATATTATGTCATTACGCAAAATATATCTAATCAACATATTTTTTTAAGTAATTTCATTCTACAATTTTTTAATCTGTAAATTTTCATTCTACGAGTTTTATTCCGCAACTTATGTTATTATGCGATTATGCAATGTTACTAATCGGACATATCTATTGAATTAAACAGTATATTTAGTGGATATAATTGGGAAACGAATCATAAATTTTAAGAAGTTACGTGCCCGCTGAAGGAACGTTATAACATTGCATTTTTGTATTGATTCACATTTAAGAAGAAAATTAACAGGTTTTGGAGAAATGTAATCAGATAAGGTAAATTTCTAACTATAAACCATTAACACACTTTTCTAACTTTTAATCCTCCAATGCAATTACCTAACTGCAATGCGTTAATTTTTTTTTTAATAACTAAGCGTTTATGGGTTTATAGGCATGTACATCTTTTCAAACCATAGTTCAGAGTATTTTTTTTGGTTCTCCCCTAAATATCACTCGAACTAGCATTCTCTAAGCTCAGAGCCGGCTCAACGTTTATGAAGGCCACAATCAAAGGAAAAAAAAAGGCTGCCTCATATTTATATTAAAAAAAAAAAGCAAAAAAAAATTAAAATAGTCTAAATGTTAAACAAAAGCTCTAATTTGTAGACATTGTAAAACATAAAAAAAAAAAAGCATATTATTCTTCAAATCTAACAATTCTCAATGCATTTCTTCCTGCAAACTCATTCATCAAGCTTTTATAATCAAGTTTTTCAGCCATACGCCTTTCAATCGATATTATCGCCAATCCATTCAGTCTATCTTGCGTCATAGTTGACCGAAGATAAGATTTTATGAGTTTCAACTTCGAAAAACTTCTTTCTGCAGAGGCAACCGAAACTGGAATCGTCATCATTATGCGGTATGCAGTCCATATATTCGGATAACAGCTTTCCATCTTTTTCAGAAAATCCAAAACCTCGACAGGCTTCTTCATCTCTTTTGGTAAAACCTCTTTGAAAAGCTTTAGCTCTAAATACAAATCATTACCATCTAGATCAGAATGAATACCATGCTTCAAGAAAACTTCAAGGTTGGTACAAGAAGCCATCAAGTCGTCATCGTTTGCTAACTTTAGTTTCTTCAAGTCAAATAAAAATCCAAAAGTCTTTTCATAACTTTGAAGTTGATCAAATCTTGTCTCAAGAGAAACCAAACCTTGATCCACGATTTTGATGAAGTAGTTGATCCTAAAGTTTTCTTCCGCTGATAATATCACATCTTCCCCAACCTTTTCAGCTTCTTCGTCATGATATCGTTTCCTTTTACATACGCGTTTTGCCTTCACAGAAAATACAGGCTCAATATCCATACTAATAGCAATCCGCTCAGCTTCTACTTTTGCTGCTTGAAAGCCTGTTTCTCTGTAGTTTCTAAAAAAAGAAACAAGTCCTTTTAGTTGAGCGATAGCAATATCAATATCCATATCTTCTGACTGCAAGATCTTACTCACTTTGTTGACAACAAACAAAAGTTCATACCAAATTACCATTCCAAACAAAAACTCAAAACTCCCAATTCCATGGATTTCACTCATTGCAAGAGACTCGGCTTCACTTTTTGTTTTCGGATTATCACTGTTTTCTGCCAAGTAAAACAAAGCATCTCGTATTTGAGGAGCTTGAAATCGTATTGCTTTAACACTTTTAACGCGGCTCTCCCAACGAGTTTGTGACAAAGGCTTGACTGTAATACCATTCACAATCTCTCTGAAAACTTCACAATTATTTGTAGAAGATGCAAACAAGCAGTAGATACGTTGAATAATTCCAAAAAATGACACTGCTATCGTCGACGAGGAAGCGATATCAGAAAGTGCAAGATTCAAACTATGACAACCACATGGTGTGTAAACTGCCCTTGGATTAACTTCAAGCAATCTAGATTGCACTCCTTTATTTTTCCCTTTCATGTTTGATCCATTATCATAACCTTGCCCTCTAATGTCATCAATACTCAACCCAAGATCAAGCAATACATCTTGCAAAGTGTCAAAAAGTCCTTCTCCAGTTTTGTCTTTGACTTCCAAAAATGTCAAAAAAAACTCTTCAATCTTTGGTGACATCTCAGAAATATCCACACAACGGATAACTAATGACATTTGTTCCCGGTGACTGATATCAGGAGTAGTATCAAGAATAACTGAAAAATACTTTGCACATCGAATCTTCTTCAAGATCATCTGTTGGACCTCATTACCAAGCATCAGTATCAACTCATTTTGAATATCATGACTCAGATAATAATGATGCGTTTCACGTTTTTCAAAACGTCTAATGTGTTCTTGCATCACAGGATCAAAATCTCCAAATACCTCAATCATGCCCAAAAAATTTCCATTATCATCCTCATGAATCTTATCACTCCTTCCACGAAATGCTATATTCTTTTTAGCAAGACCTTTTACCAAAGAAATTATCCTCAACAACACATCTCTCCAGTGCTTTTTCTCTTTATTAATCTCTTCCTGCATATGCTTATCAATTGTTTGCTTCTTTTGCAGCCTCACTTCTAGCTCCATCCAATTAATCATGCATCTTATATGCTTATGACCTCTTTCATGCTCTCTTAGCATTCTTGAAACATTTTTCCAGTCATTGTACCCAATAGTTGCCAACTGGTTGGTATTTTTGTCTTGTGTAAATAATTTACAACAAAAACAAAAGATCTTATCTTTTACTTTTGAGTAAACTAGCCATCGTCTATCTTGCTTCTCTCCATTCCTTATTTCTCTTGTATAAGACGAATGAGAAAAACATCTGCCAATAGAATCTCTTGGAAAATGAAAATCAACGGGAAGTCGTGCCATTGGACCTTGAACAACAAGAAAATCTCTCATTCTATTGTCAATTGTCCTCCAATTTCCAGGATCATTGAGATCTCCATCTAGATGATATTTCTTAACATCATATGTTTTCTCTTCTGCACTCTCCTTCTCATCATTCCCATTATCACTCTCAATCTCAGTTTCAATCTCCATATCACTCTCATTCGCATTCTCATTTTTTTTCTCTCCACACTCGTGTTCATCACCATGTTCACCAATTTCATCTTCACAAGTTTCTGAAATACCAGCTTCTTCACTACTCATATTGATCTCTTTTTCTAAAGGCTCATCAGTTTTAGAAGTTTCAGATTTTTTTACATACCTCAACATCGAGTTTTCCATTGATTTTGTTAATTTCTCTTGTCTCTTCTTTTTTCTTACTTTTGATGCTCCTCCTGGCTGGTGTCTTATTCGATTCGAAGTCATCTTCCTGCAATCATTGAACAAATCAATAGTTAGTATGACTTTCTGTACAAGGAAGAGATAGAGTCGTAGAGAGAAAGTTGTTTGTCTAATGTTTAAACGCATATAAAAAATTAATTGACAAACCTGAATTGATTCAAAACTCAAGTCTGAGCAAAGTGAAAAAAAGAGAAAGATGAATCTGATATTGTTGCTTTGATGGAGATTGATGAGGTCGAAGGGAAGAACGATTCACGATTGCAAATTTGCAAGACCAAGGAGGAAGAAGAAGAGCAAACGACGTCTTAATTAGGTTTTAAGGTTTATTGCTTTTTTGATTAATATTTGTTTTATAATTTTTTGTTTAAGTAAATTAAATTTCGGTTTATTTTTAATCACATAACTTTTTAATATTATTTTTCGTTTTATTTCTAAAAAACGGAAAAAAAAAAAAAAAAAAAGCTATTACCGAGACTTGAACCCGAGACATGGGACATTATATACATGAGAGCAGACCACTAGACTAAAGGAACTTCTCAAAAATATGGGGCCGCAAATTAACTATAATATTTGAGGCCACAAGCCACTGCCTCATGGGCCTGTGCCATGGGCCGGCTCTGTCTAAGCTGTACCTAAAAGTTTTTGCCAATTAAGTTATTGACACTTGGTCAGTGTGTAAAAATAAGAATAATTTAACCGAGTGATTTGTTCAATAATCATATGTTTAGATCATTTTTTATTTTTTTTTATTTGCACAAAAAAAAAGATCATTTTTATTTAATAATTAACATAGGTTTTGTGCCTAGATCCAGGTTCAAGGTAGTTTTTGATAATTTCTTTGTATCTGCTGTCATTCGATTATATAACCTTTTTGCATTATCTCATGATATTTTTTAGTCGAAATAATGACCTCTGGTTATATTTAGATTATTGATTTGCACAAATAAGTGAAAAGTAATTTAATGTGATATTTACTCAATCATATAAAATAACATGTTATATGTTTAAAACGCGAATTTCATGCTATGCGGTGTCATACCTATATCACGTATTTATAAATTTATTACTACATCATTTAAAAAAAATTAATATATGATCATTTAGCGCATATACGCAATCTAACATGTAAGTTGTAACGCGACCGACCACAACAAATCATAAAGCTAATATGTTTCTATCACTAACGTGTGAAATTAAGTTAAATTAGTCAAATGGTAGATTTAGGAATATAAAAGCTTCAACAATTTTAGGTATGGAAAAACTGTATATTGATAGTCATGATTTAAACAGAAAAAAGACACTCCCATGTATTGCATGCAAATCCTAAAACCATTAATGTTCACTATGAGAGGCTAGTATCATTGGTGATAGCTATGTGGTTAAATATTCCATTTTAGACATGATAAATCGTCTTTATATAAAATGCCGTTTATTCATAGGTGTTAATAGAATCATCAAAACAGAGTACATTGTTATAAGAATACTGGTGTGGTAACTTTTCATAATATTTCAAGGCTTTGATTAGGAAAAGACGTGTTTGATGAGAGAAGTGGCTTAGTTTCTATACTAAGGCAGAACACAATCTAATATGCTTTTTAACAATGATATATGTGTTTAGGAGAGATATATCACATTACTTACAGAGACAACAAACATATGGAAGGGTAGTAGCTGATACGAGTACTGTAAGTTAGAATATGGGAGTAATTAAATAGGATTCAGATCCCCTTCTCGAATGTGACAACAAAGAAGGAAGGGTGTGGGTGTGTTATTAGCACTTAGAATTGGTTCTATTATGCATCTAGTTCAATTTCTTTTACTAAGAGATATATTTCAAAAGAAATAGACTAAATGCTGATTCCGGATCTAAAAATATAGGGTCTAGACCCAAACTTGGCAGTCACTAAAAGGAAGTAAAAAAAAAAACTATATAAAGTGTTTATCTTAACATGCAAGAGTGCAAAGACCAAGTGGCCAGATCCATGGATCGGATAGTGCCAGTTGCACCCCATACTACATTATCATTTTGGGCATTATGTTCTTTTACTTAGGTTTGTGTAATTTTTGTATGGATTTGAGTATTTTTCTGTTATGATATTTTATTTACCAAAATAATCTTACTATATTGTTCATATAAACCGTTGTTGAATCCGTAGTACTTGTTCTACTAATTAATTAAAATATTTAAGATTCTTTATATAACAATAATTACATTTTGCTTTAGAATTTCGAATTGACTAATTTTTAGTACCCATAATGAGAAAAATCGAATGTTGAGGAAGTATTTAATGCCACTGGTTTAAGTACCGACATAATGTTGACTTATTAACAATATGGAGTGGTCTCTTATGTGAAAAAAAATCAGAGATTCAATTAAAAATGAAAACTTCTTGGTTATTCAGAAAAAATAAAAAACATGAAAAGAAAGTTAGAAGATTTACAAAAAAAAAAAAAGAAAAAAAAAAAAGTTAGACTTCTCTACTGATTTAGAGCGATTTAAAACTTTAAAAATTACAAATTGCTCTTTATTACTCTTAAACAAGTTTTCGAAAAAGCTTAGAAAACAATACAAAAACGTTTATGTTAGAGAAAAACTAATCTAGTTTTTTCATTTTTTAGAAAAAACCAATCTAGCTTCATATACATTTAAAAAAAAAAAAGACATTGAGAAATCGTCTATGGTATTTACTTTTTAAGTGAGAGTTATATTTCTATAAATAATAATAAGACATTGCTTTGACTAGAAGGCCTTGCGCTGCCACAACTACGAGCAATTATTAAGGGTTAGGTTCGTCCAAAGAGGAATCCTGATTTGTGGTTACATAAGTAGCCTCACTACCGTTTTACCTTATGCCTTTTAATCAGACCTCCACTTTTTCAGGTGATGCTTCAACTGTTTCCACGATAAAGTTGTGTCATTAAATTTTTCTGTTTCTTTTATCTTAGAAAAAAGACATACAACACGAAATTTGTTCGATAGGATGATTTTAAAAGTGACTCAGCAAGGCAACAATCTCGTGTTTGAGGGATGACTAGGACAAGTTGGTTCTTAATATTTTCATTTTTTGTTTTCTGTAAGAATTTATTATGTTATGATGTTATCTTAGACAAATAAGCTAAATGATTCTTTAATTTTATGTATGAATTTTGGAAAATTAGCATGCGTAATTGACTTTCTTTTATATGACTTTGACCATTTCTAGTTACGCGAATTTGATATTCAACACTACATACTATACTACAAAAATTTAACAGTTTCAGCCATAAGCACCGTATAATAATAACCTTACACACTATCTAACCACCTTTTTATTATTATATTTTGGTTATAGTTATTCATTGGTCTTGATCTTGATACGAGTTCATAACCAATCTAGAATTTGACCAGGCCTTTAAAACCTAGAATTTGTTCATGAATGTAACTCCTGGACGTAAAAAAAAAGGGTTACTAACTCCTTGATCGGCCTTAAAGAATATAAGATTAGGTGTATAATTTACACCAACCACTACAATGAGAAAGTACATTGTATTAACATAAATGGTGACGTGGACAAACCTAACATAATTTGCGTAGTCTACAGTTTATAAAGAAACTAATTTGGTCTCTAGTTAAACTATTATTCTAAAATAGATTATTAGGACTTAGGAGTGTAACGAGTGTTAAATGGGCTTAACCTATTTTGCAAACAGGGTAAAATTGTGTGAACATTATAACACGCTATAGCCTTCAAATTATTGTGGTTAATTTTAGCAAAGTGAATATTTCATTTTCAAATCTAATCTTTATACATATAAAACTATAAATATAATGGATAATAGTTAGTTTTCGAATGAAAGTTAATACTGTACTACTTAGTAAATTGATAAAAAAAAAAAAGTTTATAATTCTTCACTTAAAATTTAGTGTTACTTTATATAGAAATCGGGTACTGAATTATTGGTATTACGTCGTCCATGTGATCAAACTAGTTTTAAGGACATTCCCTTCCCTCAAAGTTCCACAAAAGCATTGTGCAAGCCGAAACTTTGGACTTGACTTTTTAAATGAAATTGATATCGAAAACATATTTATCTATTTCCCGAGAATGAGCCAAATAATGAAATAACTAACAGAAATCCCCTGCGTCAATCATGTGGACTGTTACTAGTACCTAGTAAGTAATAACTATTCAAAAAAAAAAAAGATTAGTGACTATTCATTGGGGTTTAAGAGTTAATTCATAAGTAAAGAGATATGCAAAATAAATAAAAAATAGAAAGTATTCAAAGATAAAAATTGAAGAAAAACATAA